GTGGAATCAGAGAAGGAATATAGTAGCATATTGCGTTATTCAATAAAGTAACTTTTTAAATGGAACGCCTTGTATATTTTGGAAGAAGATGACTCGTGGGTATTGCCGCGTAACACAAAGTATTGAAACGATGCATTGTCATCGAAAGCACGCTAAATGTCGAATCTGCATATTGAAGCACGTCCACGTCCAGAGAAAGAGAGGAGTTAAATAAGGAAAATAAAGTTTCAAAGAAATATTACCATACATAAGAAAGTTGGCTATGAGCCGTCTGTGCAGCTACCGTGCAGCCCACATAATTTTTACCATGTGCGAAATGTTTATCTTTACTAGACGCGTCTGTGGTTAAAATTTCAAAGAAATATCTCCATAAATATGAAGGTTGGCATTGAGTAGTCTGCGCAAAATATGGAGTTAAATGAAACTGATCGAAATGGGCAAATATAGACCATAACACCTATCAATTAGCGAAAACCCGAAGTCTCTAGGTGGCCCAGGGCCCGAGATCTCGATGGAACGGACGGACGGACGGACGGACAGACGGAAACACGAGCACAAAAGCTTTACCTCAACTTCGTTGTGTTACGCTAAACATGTAAACGCCCGATGGATTACACAAAAGAAGAAATAGATGGAACTATGCTGGAAGGTTTAAAATGATTTAACATTAGCTACTCTGGTTCTAATAATAAAGGAGGAATAAAAGTTGGTTTTATCTTTCATGGTATTCTAATTAAAGGTCTCAACAAAACTGTTTTCTACCAACTAAAGCCCTTCTTTCTTACCTTTTATCAAAATAGGGGGTGGAGCTTAGAACTGGTTTATCCCTAATAGTATTCTAATGAAAGGTATCGACGAAATTGAAACATCTGGACTAGGATCTTTAAGTGCGAATACGTCGAGAACGGACTGTCGGAAGTTGTTACTCACAAAACAAATGAATTAAAACTATTATTATTAAACAAGTTGTAAATCAGCATAATGCATGATTAAAGCGCATTTTTGGTAATGCAGGTCAGTATTTTATTAGCGAAGTTTAAAATTATCGATCTCACGAGTCATTTTGGCTGCGTTAAATAATTAATTTTATTTAATTTCAATTGACGGTACGTCTTCATTTTGTAAAACAAATCACAAAGTAAATAATAAGTTTTTATACTGGTAGCGCTATCTAACGGTAAAATTATAGCACCTCCGAAACCCATATCGAAATTATTTTCTTCAATTATCGATTTACTACACTATAGCAGAAAGCTTTTAGTGAAAATTTGAAGTCTCTAGCTATTGAATATACGAATATAATAGCGTATTTTTTTCAAAAATGCGCTAAAAACCTTCATTCCTTCTTTTGTTTAACTTTAAAGTATCGGCCGCCTGCGTTTTTGCTGATGGATAGGCGACAATGTTTTTACATGTTCCATAATTTTATACTTTTGCCGTTTATTAACGATCCTAGAGATCGTTAATAATTTTGTATTGCTGTCTGTCGTCTGTCTGTTGGTCTACCCGTCTGTTCCTTTGTCTGTCTGTCCCTGTATCTGTCCGTGTGAACGATAACTTTGTTTAGAAATGTCCTATCGCTTTTACATCTCCATTAGTTATTAACTGAATTGCATGAAATTCAATATGGGCATAGCTTTAACCATATAATACGCAATGCCAATAATTGAGTCGAATCGATCCAAAATTCACAGCGTCTTTTTCGCATCTCGACCATTTATAAACCGAATTGCAAACTTTTTTACTATAAAAGTATTTGAATGAAATTTGATACATAGGCACTTGGAATAAAGGAAAAGCAAACGCCAGTTTCAAAATTTGGTTCTGCGCATGCGCAGTGTCAACTTTTTTATTTATGGAAGCGTTTAAATGAAATTTGATAAATAGGTGCTTGGAATAAAGGAAAATCTAGCGCCAGTTGCAAAATTTTATTTTACGCATGCGCAGTGCCAACTTTTTTATCTATGGAAGCATTTAAGTGAAATTTGATACAAAGGAAAATATAACATTAGTTTCAAAATTTAGGTTTGCGCATGCGCAGTTCCAACTTTCTTATTTAGAAAAGCATTGAAATGAAATTCTTCTTAAAAACTGAAATTGAAGTAACCCGTCAAAAATGGATTGCCCATGTGCAACGCTCTCTTTCATATTTGTGGCCGGATTTTTACGATTTTAACAGAAGTTGCATCTTACAAATGGGAAATGAATGCAAGTGGAAATGCGCTTTATGTAAATCGTTTACGATTACTTTTTAACTTGTTGTTGATTTCAAACGCTTGGTAATTGTTGGTGATCTTCATCAGTCCACTTAATTTCAAAACAAGATATAGGTCGACCTTGAATTGTATTGCGAGAATATGACAGGCAACTAGATGCTGGTGTACTCGCACAGTTCAGAAAATTTTGACGACGTACATTTCAAAACTCTTCGTTCAAAAAACAGTGATAAGAACTCAAAGTTTTTGAGCGCAGCGGAACGTCACGGAGGGTCCAGTCCAAAGAAAAAATTATCCCTGCTTTTCTTCGAACACTACCTTTTATAAACAAGCGGCGAACCACTTCCACTTTTCTAGATTTTGGTACGGAAGGAAACTCAACGTACAGAGTGTAAAAATGTAAACACATCGGCCCGGTACGACTTAGGTAACCCGGCGAATGTATCGATCGGTAAATGAAATAGACGAGTGCGACATCAACGAAAAAAGAAGTTTTAAAAGAATCCTATAACCGGATGGATCGAGCGCAATTGTGAATCTAAACCATCCGGTGACACACAGTCACAGTCACAAACACACGTACAGGAGAATTTGGTATATATAAAGATTGTCTTATCACATAAACAAAATGTTATCAATTATGGTCTTATCCAGACCTATTTTACTTTAAACACATCTATCCATAATACATATAACTTCTAAAGAAAACAAATTCTACAAAAAGAAAACACCTTCAACTTTACCATTTTACAATGTTTCGTCAATGTACAAATAAAAGCAATAATTTCGCATTTTGATCTAATCATTGCCCACATTCAATTTAACAAAAACGAATCATCCATACCGTAATCACATAAAATAATCACGCAAACTGAAAGTATGCTTATCACCTCACCACCATATACAGGGTGTTCAATTTAAAAACGGTTACTTTTTTGAATATCCTGATAACTCCATGTGTAATTAAAGTATTACTATCGTGAAAAAACTTCATATTTTCTATTTTTACTTTAAACACGTTGTATAAAAAATTGTGTAATACCCCCGTATTTACACCAGGCTCTTTCACACTAAAAGTATTCATGTTCTCATTAACATATATGTATATACTTTTTCATGATCTATCGAAAGAAAGTTAAATCGTGATCGTTTCACTTCCGGTTTTACCGGATTTGGATAGCAACTTTCTTATTTTAATAGAACACTCTGTATTTTATTGCATTTTCGAAATCTCCATCAAAATATACATCGTTTGATACCACATCTCCGTATACTCAGCGTCAACAGTTTATAAGTCATGATTTTTGACATTTGACTGAGTTTTTTTGGCCCTGTGTACGAGAATACCTATCGGAAAAATTTCCTGGAAAATGGAAAATTTGTCCGATAGGTATTCTCGCACGATTAGGGCGTTGTGTGCGGGTGCACCATCCTGTTAAAACCAGTAACTTCAAACTTTTGTTTTTTTTGTGTCGTACATGTACATCGTTGTATACAGTATGTACTTTTTTTACGGGCATATATTCTGAAGTAATCGGAATTTTCTCGTTTTCTTTCTTTTACAGTATTCTTTTTACTCCTTTGAAGAATTTGAGGAGTTTTGTGATAATTGGGTGTAACTTTGTTGAAGTTTATGTTTGTTAGTTTCGTTTATGTCTGACTGTTTGTTTTACGAATTATATATGTCGTAGCCTTTTAGTGAAATCAGTCATTTCACGAAACGTCTAGTCATTTATATGAAACTGTGGAACAGTTTACTTTCCAAGACCAAGCGATTGGATTCCCTTCCCATTAGAGATCGATAAATGGTATCCTTATCGATCTAGAAGGGGAAGGGAAATTACCCCACACGTACAAATTTTCAGCGTTTCACTAAATGACTAGGCCTCGGACTAGACGTTTCGTGAAATGACTGATTTCACTAAAAGGCTACGACATATACATTGTTTTACCATGACAAGTGTAAGTGTACCAACACAACAGCACAAGAAATATTATTATTATTAACTATGATAACACTACTCTTTAATTGCGCAACTTTTCCCTAATTTTTGACGTATATTCTATAGTTTCCGTTTTTAGAAAGAATACCCGTGAAAATATCCATTGTTTCAATTGAAACCCATCCTTTATCATGTTGTTTTTTTCATACTATAAAACGACAATCCCTATACCGCACAAAATCCGTATTCATCACTCAACATTGCCATTCCACACCGGGATAACATATACGAAATACTCGTTTATCTTAGCTTCTATCTTCTTTCAGTCGAAAGCTAAGATGAATAACACAAAAAATGAATGAGTTTCCTATGCGTTTAGTAGAGCGTGTCGATTTTTTTTATCAAATCACAATAGAACCATTAAACAAAAAAACTCTACTAAAATACGTCTCTTACTAAAATTTTAAGGCGAAACTTACACATAGGTATCTAGGGATTTGGCACTAAAAGTTAGTTTTCAAAGCTTTTTAATTATTTCGTACGTAGGTAACTAATGTCAATAAAATAACGTTCGTCCATGTTGGTCTTTGGTATAGGTTTTTGGTCACTCTAAATCGGTCGCCTAAAATTCAATATCTTTGGTAATAAAATCCTTCGAGAATTAAAGTTTCAAACGAAAATGTACATTTCCAGCGACCTGCATAGGTCCTGTGAGAGTAAAACTTCAATATCGTTCTGATTAAATTGCTTGTAACGTTCGTTTTCTTTTCAGATTGAGTCTCAATATGTTTTTTGTCATTCCAATCGTTGGAAAATAGGTAACACTAATTGCTTGTTGCAGGCGCCTCCGCCCCCGCCCCCGCCACAAGCTCAGCCGAACACCGGAAATTCGGGAGATTTGTCCTTAAACCTGAGGCCGGGATCAAAGACAACAAGCGCACCAAGTAGTCCTGCAAAGTCGAGGGAGTCGCTCTTACAACGCGTTCAATCATTAACGGGACAAGCGAGAGATCAGGGAGCTTCCATATTAGGCGCCGCCGTTTCGAGCGCGAGCAGAGTAACGTCATCGGTAACAAGCACGAGACATTTAACTCTTCTCGTCATTGATGACCAGAACACTGATTGGTCTAAGTACTTCAGGGGTAGACGAATTGGCGAATACGATATACGCGTCGAGCAAGCTGAATTTAAAGAGATTACTGTAACGGCCACTGCGGATAGTGCGAGTGTATCGATGGCAGTTTTCAGGGGTGGAACAAGAGTCGGAAGATCGTTTAGGCCTGACTTTTTGTTGGTGAGTAGGTACTAACTTTTCCATTTACTAGTACTTTCTAGTACATTCAACTCTAAAACAGAGTCAGCAGATACTGATTGAAACAGGAGCATACCTATAGTTGAACAGAAAGTTTAGACGCGATGACATAGTTGTTCTAAATATAGACCTATCAATTTAGGAAATTGGATAACAATTGACTTAACACGAAAATAGAATGTGGTCTGTCGACCGAAGTTGTTCAGGAAATCAATTCGAACGACTGCTTACCGAATTACTGATGCGGTCTAATGGCATGTCCCTATATAATACACAGAATTAGACCTTTCGTAAAGTAATATCGATTAGCTCAGTAACAAACAATAACAGATTTATTCCATGTTTTACTATTCTGAACTAATATTTTAGATATATCTACGTTTGATGGCAGATACAAGGAAAAACAAATGAAAAGTTTGCATCCCCACTTTATGCTTGTGCTATTATTCGCGTTTCTTATGCCCCCATCTTTAACCCTCAGCTTGTAAAATGGAAAGGGACAGTTTGAAAAGAGGAATGGATTAGGGATTTACAAAATCTCTCAAGTGTCATCGAAAGCCTTTTTGGCACATTCTTAGCTCATTTTCCCAAAGCTATTGCCGTTGTCTAAAATTTGTCTGTATCTTTTCCCGCTTATAAGATTATTTTGTGTTGTATTTCGATCATATTTTATTTAACTTTTTAAGTAGACTGGGCTTTGAAATTGAATGGATGAATTTGCCCGTCACTATCCTATACTCTCTACCTCAAGCGTCCTTTTCATCGTACAGTCTTTGCTAGCACTCCCTTTTTTCTGTCGCTTATTGCCTTCTTGGTAAGTTGTCTGAATTCCTTGAGAGAAGGAATTGCATCTTGAAGGGGCCTTCCTTTTTCGCTCTGGTAACTATTCGCCTCCTTGCGACACACGTTCTGTGAAGCTCAGCTATTTCGATATTCCACCAGTAGACCACTCTACTTCTCCGCTTGCTCGCGGCCATGGTTGCTATTTACGGAGCAGTCGGCTGTTTTTAGTAGCGCAGCTACATGTTGAGAGTGCGTTCAAGCCGGGTATCCCACCTACTAGACCATTGTGGCAGACGTTAAATCGTGGTTAACATTTCATCCTTTTGAGGGGAAGGCGCATCTAAAAGACGCATACCTACCCACGACGAAGCATTTACTCTCTGTAAGCACTCTTGTCATTCACAAGTTTGTGACCACCTACTGGTTAACTGGCCTTTATTTGACCACCCATGGTCTGTTGCCCGGCTTCGATTTTGGGACGACTAGCTTTTTTCTCTGATGTGGTTCTGGCCACTAATAGCATACATTTTTACTAATTTTTTACTTAACAAAAACCGACACCTGACACCAGTTGTTATATCGTAAATTGAATACGTTAGTTATTGAAATGATTATTTATATAACATTTATGTTCCAATGGTTTTTAAATAGATGGACTTATAACAGTAACAATTAATATTTATCACTTACTTGCAGTCACATTTATATCACTTAAATTTAAATTAATTATTTATCACTTCCACCATTAAGACTGGCACTAAACACCCCAGTTTTCAGTAGCGGGATTCGAACACACCACCTCCATAACAGCAGTCGTACCTCGTACACGTTACCAGTGCTACGAACATCGGTCCTCGTTGAAAGAGACAATATAGCAAAATCACCGTCGAGCTGATCGACCGAAATTCGCTTTAATCCTATTGGCTGCAAATATATGTATGTATAACTAAACATGTTGAAACAAAAAGGATCAGTTGTGTATTTCCGTAACTTTTCTGGACTAGTTGACTTTATGCGAAAGAGTTCGAATTTATAGTTTATCAAATATCCACAACTAAAATAAGCCACAAGTCACACGGTAACGAAGCCTAGGATCTCGGCCATGGTTAAGAGATAAGATTTATGGCAGCGAAGAAACATCCGTAACTTTGTATGCGGACCGAGGTACGCAGGGCACTGTAATGTTCCTAGGGGGTCTATCAAGCCGGCACTGAAAACGTTGACTTGCCCTATACTTACCGATGGCAACTCTGGCAAAAAACTACAAGCAGAGCCATCTACCTTTCAAGTCGAAACGAGGGCGGCACTTTTGAATTTGGATGGCAGTCGGCTCGACCTGGATAGCACGAATGAACTCCTACGTTGTGTAATCAGTTCTTTTATGTGTTGGGACGTGAGACATAATCGGGAAGGGAATTAAATAAAAGACAGAACTTTTGAATGACAAGAACAAATAAATATATTACGCACACAACAAGACCATGCCAGGGAAACCTTCTACGGGACTAAAACAATACAGCAATAAAATGCAAGAGAAAATACACATAAATAAAACATCTAAAATTGTATGATATAATCAGATAATCACATCAAATGCAATGAAACAAGTTCATAAAAACAAAATACACAAGACATTATAAATGCAGTGGAAAACATGATAAATCAATTCAGTACAAAAACACATGAAAACACCTGTACGATCAATTGAGATAACACAACTCGTAAAATAAATAAATTGCATGTACATAGGAAACATGTAAATGGTGTGACTCTACTCCAGTCTTCCGTTAACATAATTTTATTTAATACGAAAAGTACATGTGAGAATGCCAATGGCCAATTGCAAGTATTCATGTGAAAATCGATTATTGCTCAAGCAGAACATATTTTAAATAGTGGACATGTTAATGAGAGAGTCCCTAAATATCTCGCATTGCTAAGATGAAGAACTGAGACGAGTAGGCAACAGATTCAGCGAAAGATCGAACTGTATTAGGTACCTACTCCACGGAGACAGTTCGTATAGCTAACGCACAAGAACTGCAGCGCGCCACGAATCAGAAAGTAACAGATACAGCGAACAATCAAACTGTATTAGGTACCTCCCTCACGGAATAGTTGCAGATCAATCGAACAGAGCAACATCACACTGATAATCAACTCCTCGTGAATACAGAAATAAATACTTAATTAAACAAAATAATGGCATAATCACCTGTACAGTATAACAAACAAACATGATTCATTTAACGGTACTCAAAACAAAGGTATGGAGTACGCCATGATTCAGATATCGTAGTTTCTGCAAAATCAGCAAAATGTAAATAATATCAAATTGTGGCAAGAAATACAATGATTAATAGCTAGTACAAGCAATAATAAAATGGTTACTACCTGTATATACACCTTCAAAGCACCACCACCAAAATAATCAAGAATAAAAACCGGGAACGCATGATGCCTTCCGTCGACCTCGTCGCCATCTCCTTCATTCTCCCCAAGCTTCATTACGAAAATCCCCTAGTATTCGGCATCTGCGCATAACGGTCGATTGGTTATATACAGAGCATATCATATTTTGTTTCAGATGTAAAGGTGTGTTGCCTAACCATAATGGTGGATTATCACAGCACACTTCGTGGTTCGGTGAAAGTACTCGGATACGCTCTTGTGAACATTTATTGGAAGAGAAAAGCTGCCTGTGTATGTAGAGTAAACGCGTCAATCCCACGACTGACTGGCGCCTCAAGCTTTCGCACGCATTTAGAAAATCAGAGCCGTATTCAGGTACCGTTCGCCCACAAACAAAATTAAGAAAATTTCGAATGATATAAAATCAGTTTACGATCTCCCGTTATGTTGTGCTGATTATGTGGGCCACGGTTGTAGATACACTTTATATTAGTTGCAGAAGGTGACATAATAGCGATAGGTAGCTTCGCAGCTTCTATGGGCACCTAATGGTCTGTCGTAGGCACATCTAACAGTGGCACGAGTAAGTAAAAGCCTCTTAGCACTGCATAAACGAATAATACTAGAGGCGTATTTTCTACAAAAACCATCTGGATAATATCAGGAAATTTAATTGATAAGCATGGGATCTAGGAACACAGGTAACGTTCCGCAGCTTTCGTTAGCTATCATATTCTGAATCTCCTTTTGAGTCTTGAGATTCAGCTATGTCACTTTTGATAAATCTGACGCCGCCTGCGAAGGAATTGCGCTTTTATTAAACAACATGTGTTTTTTCATAACACGTACAATATGAGATTCAAAATAGAGTTGATAAATACAAATAGAGCATGTGTAAGTACCTATAAATATTGAACTTTCATATTAATGGCTTTTATTGATTAATATTTACTATTCCACCTTCTGTTACAAATTACCCACACGGTAATTTAATTACACGCACAACATCATTAAATGGTTACGGACCCCATTTGAATTTGGTATACGGACTATCAGCAGGAAAACGTAAAACCATCAACAAAAGGCCATTATTAATTGCCAAACGGTTGTAAACTTCAGTTTTAGTGTCCACCATACCTACCGCTTTCCACGATAAAAGTTGTGAGAAGGGTTGCGTGGCAAGCTCATAACAATTTCATTCGACATCAAGGCGTCTACGACAATATACTATTTAATTGCCCTCTATAAAAGCCTAAATATACTTATTTTTATTATTGAATGAATTTGGATGATATGTACGTAATGTATGGAAAGCAATCATTTTTAACTACACATAATTTTATACGTTTTATATATATATGATTGGTTTGTGACTTCCATTCAAATTATTCCTTCAAAAGAGACTTTCATTTCCATTCACGGCTTATTATTATTCTAAAAGTGTTTCAGGCAACATGAATTTTTTAAGCTGAATGAAAGCTTGCATCTTTATATAATGGAATCTTGCTGTGCTTTCTAATAGAGGTCTCGCCCAGTTATTCTTGTCATACTTGTCCCGAACATTTTGTTATTGATCTTACTCTTTTTTGGAAAGATACCTATATAAAAGCTCTATTCATTTTGTGGTCTTTAGACGTAATGATTTAAATACCGTCTGGATAACGGCTCATACCCCCTCCAAAGCGTCACCACTGTGGGTTTTATAAGAAAAGCTCTTTTAACTTGAATTAAACACGTATCGTAAAATTTATTATTTCTTTAAGGTTGTTAGGTCCCCGTAATGGACA